CACACACACACACACACACACACACACACACACGGGTTGGTGTTTGTGTGTCTGCATGTGTGCCCGCATTTGGGTGCGCTGTGTTGTTCAACCACTTGCCAATGGAAGGACACGCGTGCACATTAACCGGCACTTCGCTCAGGACACAGACATGCACAGACACATTTCTCCTTCTTTCGAATTTGTTTTTAATACATATACTTCCTGATGTGGTGTTCTGCAGAATCTGCATCAAAATACTACGACTATGCGGAGAACAGTAGAGTTCTGATCAAAACGGATCTTGTAGACATGAACGGAAATGTATTTGCAGACTAAACCACCTTGCCCTACTATCTTCTAGCCCATCACAAGAAGCGACCTATGCCAATCCTTTTCTGATCCATTGTGTTTGTTTGTTTGTTTGTTTGTTTGTTTTTGTTTTTTTTGTTTTTTTTTTGTGCATTAATTGAAATAGAATAGAAATGGCAACCGGCACCTTATTTAGGTTGAAGTTATCACGATCCGGACAGCTGATGACGTCTGACGATGATTCGTAACCATCAAGTAGGTGCAATTCGAATGACAGAACAACTCCCACGCGGGAGGTCCTGTGTTCGATTCTTGGATCGGATGATGGACGAAAAATGCAATTCAATGCAACAACTGGCATGTCTGCAGCTCTGCTTCTTTTTTGGCAATGCTGAAGACGATGACTTCAAGGGAGAAAAGGAATCCAAGCAGCAAGATGGTGGTCAGTGAGGAGGTAGAAGAGGGGACTTCTCACGCATCCGTGTCCAGTTTCGACACATCCACCAGGCCCTGATGCTTGGAGGGGTACCTTACCTTTTTTTCCCTTTTTCATCAGAACTGCTCCAATCTAGTGGGGCGCCACAGGTTCTGAGATCCGAGTACCTCTGACGGTTGGTCATATCACCAATGTTCTCTGCTTATGACAGCATGCATCAAATATCTACAGGACGCAATGTAGTTCTTCAAGCTTTGGTAGGAGAGTGACTGGCTAGCTTCGCAATAAACCTCCAACCAACAGCAAACCCTATTTTCTTTTGTAGATTAGCTAGAAAGAAGGCTGTCGCTCAGGCTTGCGCAAATTTAAAGTCCATGTGGACACTTAAGGGGCACCATGTCGGATGTTGCTCGACCTCGTTATCCTTGTTCAGACAGGTCTCAGGGCTGAAGAGGATAAATTAGATCTGCTATACAGTGCTAATACGATATCCACTTCTGTGCGCCCCACGGCAAGAACCTTAACCAGTTCAAAATAGATTTCTTGTGTGAGGCGAAAAAGAGCCCCGAGTTGGTGTCCCTTGTTGAGGAACGAACCTCAACAAGAAAGGTTGGTATTACTTCCCACGCTCACTGAATCGGCTATGAAGGATTGACTGGGCCATAATTGGGCGTCCACAACTGTTACAAGGGTAAGTAGGGTTGGTTTATCAAATGGGCCTAATTATGGGCCAAACTGTGCCGAAGCGGGCCCAACTGAGCCTGATTGATGGGCCTAACTAGCCCTAACTGGGCCTGACTGCAGCTTCACGAGAACGTAAATTGGGCGTCCACAACTGTTACAAGGGCAAGTAGGGTTGGTTCATCGAATGGGACTCTAATTATGGGCCAAACTGTGCCGAAGTGGGCCCAACTGAGCCTGATTGATGGGCCTAACT